TTGCTGCAGAGCTTTGTGCACCAGCTAAGCAAGGGTGAGTTTGGTCTCCATGTGCTCTTTTGGAGGGGAGATGGGTCAGGATCTGTGCAGCTGAGGCTGACGGCGAGGTGCAGGAGCGGGACCAAGTCCCTCCAGTTCTCCCCTCGTCCCTGATATCTGTGCTGTCCCCTGACCTGGGCACTGCCCATGACTGCCAGAGTCATCCTCTGCAGGGATTGCTGCTCCTGCAAACCGTCACAACGGCTTTGGTGCTCAGCACCACTCCAGGTCAGGGCATACGGTGCAGCACCACCTTTACCAGTCATGAAGTTTATGGATCCATTGCTGGTCAAAGGGCTGATCCCTGCTCCTGTTAGGTCTCAGCATCTCAGTGCTCCTGCCAGTGGTTGCTGCCCTGCACCGAAGAAGAGCATAGTTTACACCTTGGACTTCAGCTGAAACCTGGGCATGAGAGCACACGCAAAAGCAATGATTCAGGCATCACCAGGAAGCTTATTTTCCTTCCACTAAGTGCCAATAAAATGCTGCTTCCATACAACAGCTAAAGCCTCTTCCTTTCCATCCCAGAGCATTGTTGCCTGCTTTGTCAGCAGGACTTGCCTCACGGACATGGGTCATTGCGTAGATGCTGAACTGTGCTTGCAGTGCGTTAAAGACTTCATTGACGATTTAACACATCTGTGGAATCAGCATAAACCACGGTTGACTTTAACCAATTAAAGATGATTAATTGATACCTATGAATTAGCTACTATAAGCAGTGATTTAGAGGGCTAAGATATTGAATGAAACTTAAAGTTTTATAAGGCATTTAAAAATAATCATAAAAAACTTGCAAACGTCAGATGCTTGCACGAACAAATGGACCTGCCCTGCAGGGGAGTGTGCTGAGGAGTGCCATCTCACAGCAACATATGGCTTGGGACTTTCAAGATGAGAACTCCAGGTCTGGAAGGTGTTTCAAAATTTAACATTTACATCTTTTTTCTCTCTCTTATAATACAGCCTGTTGTTAGACCTGACTTGCAAAAATCAGAGGTTGTACTACTTCATTTTCTGCAGGTTTTTTGTTGGCATTTGGCCTTGGCTTGAACTCAAGGCTGGGCACCCCGGTACTTCTGGGGACAGTGGCACCATGGATCAGTGTGACGTGGCCATCCTGTACTCCAGAGTCGAAGGTTCATGGATGGTGAAAGCAGTGAACCCCACACCATGCTCTGAAGGATGGGCAATGCCCACTCACCACAGCAATGACATCCAATACCATCTGCTCCATGCTCTACAGAGCTGGGCCACTCTTGAACGCCCGGGACATCACTGGAAAAATATACCCCACACTGGGCTGTGCCTGGGCAGTGGGGACTCTGTGTGCCAGCCAGGATCCACTGTCGGCACAGGAGTTGGTGTGTGTGTTATCCTGCTGGTGCTGGCACCCCCTCCCCAGCCCCAGAGGACTCAAGTCCCCCATCCTGCACCGGGGAGCATGGGCACTGGCTCACCCAGGGAGCAAAGCAGGAGGTGCAGAGCAGCCCACACCCACTGTGCTTGTTCAGCGCCCTGGGCATGCTCTGCCCTCCTGACACACACCCCAACACCCCTTCCACTGGCCCTGCCTGTCTCTCCTCCATGTGCTGCTCTTGCTCGCACTCCATAGCCCATGGGGCCACCACAAGCTTAGTGTTGTGCCTGATGGAGGGAAGCAATGCTCCAACATCTCCAAGGTGGGGGCAAGGGGATCTTTCACCATGTGCCCCAACTGATGGAGCCAACGAGGGGCTCCACATCCCCATCTGGTGAGACACACTGGGCCCTGGCAGCATTTCAGCTTCAAGAGCTGCTGCTCCGTTGTCCCACAGGTCCTCGTGGACCACTGCAGCTACATCATAGACCATAATGCTGGTAGCCTGGGCACATGCGTGTGCTCCTTGGGATGTGCATTGGCCAGGTGGCCCCAGGACAGCAGTCGCAGAATCTCCTGTGCTGTCCAGAGCATGCCTGTCTAATGTGACCTGATCAAAGATACGAGCAGGCTGTTTCTATCTGTAGTGGTAGTGGCAAGACCAGGCTCTACAATATCTGTATTTCAGCTTGGCTTTGACTCTGGGAGCAGTCCTGGGTTTTGAGTGTGCCTTACACACAGCTCTGGTTTAGCACAATCACAGCCCAAAACATCAGCTCAGCATTTTACCAGCACCTTCTGGGTAACAAATGCATCCTCTTTTGCATCCATTCCACCGCGTGGGGACACTGGTACCCTGGGGAGCACCTTGGCATGGGTTTGCATCGACAGACCATGAGGTGCACGTGCTTGTGAGACCTGGGCACAGGTCTTCAGGGGTCTGGGCTCATGCAGTAGTGTCGGGACACTCGTGCTGAATGCCGAAGGAGGAGTCTTTGTAGCCTGGGCTGGCAGCAGCCTCTGGAGCTTTGAACGCTGGCCAGGACATTGGCACCACTTTGGGGAGGGCAGAGGCCTTCTGTGCCACACCATGCTGTAGGACATGAGCCCTGCATTGCACCCACCAGCACGCACGCCTCGCTGGAGCACCTGCCAACGTCTCCGTAGAGGAACCAAAATGATCCTGGCATCCTGCACTGCACAGACTGTGTGGGACACAACCTGATCCCTGGCTGGTGCTTTGGCTGAGAGACCAGAACTGTGCCTGGGCGGACACTGGTTTCACGTGCTCTGCTCCAGAGTGGTGCTGCACAAGAGACTGCTCCTCAAAGGACCACAGCATGGAGGATGTTTGCACGCTATGGCAGAAGACGCTGTTCCTCTGCAACATGCTAGAGGATGCTACACCTCATAGCTCCTGGGAAAAAGAAGGGATGCCTTGATAGGGAAGGGCAGAGCTCTCTACCCCTCATACCATGCTCCAGAGGATGCTGGTGCTTTGATCTGGCATCCAGAGGTCCTGCTGCCCATGGGGACATTGAGACCACACAGCAGTGCTGCAGGACACTAGTACACTGCAAATCTCCACAACGACATGGCACTGCAGGGCTGTTAGCACCCTGCACGACCCTCCAAAAGCTGCTGCCAGGGGTCCATCACTCTGCAGTGCACAGGAGTGTGGCCAGTCCCTGGCCCACTGCGCTAACCCAAGACTCAACCACTTGCAAAACATGTGCTGTGCTTGGCAGGATGGGAACAGCACTCCTGCACATCAGAGCTGCTCACCAGCATAGAGCACCCTGCAGCGCGCTCCAGCAAACTTTGACACAACATACTGCACCGTTGCAATCGTCACGCAGCCCATGCAACACTTGGGATGATGCCAGCACCCTGTAAGACCCCGAAGAATACCCCAGAGCACTCTGCCATGTCCCAGAGGATTTCTGCATCCTGCACCACGCTCTGCCATGCCCGAGCATGGCAGCAGCTCACTCACCGTGGAAAGCCACAGACACCGGTGGAGAGGGAGCAGGGGAGAGTCGTGGCTGGGCTGGGTGCTGACTCAGCTGTTCTGGCGGGGCTGTGCCACCGAGCACAGGGTGCAGGGAGGGAGGTGCTGGGCGGGGAGGGAGCACGCAGGTTTCGGCCCCGGCGCGCACAGACCCAGGCTGGCAGGGGGCCAGCGCACTGCTGAGACAGGCAGTGCTGTGGGAAGCAGGGAGTGCCTCTGTACCCCCACCCTGGGCGCTGCCAGCCCCAGGGGACGGGCAGAACGGCTGCAGCACCTCTCCGTGGCACCAGGCACCAGCACTGGCAGGGCTGTGCCTTTGCCTGCCAGAAAGGTTTTGAGGGTGGACCTTCAGAGCCTGGGAAAAGGGGATATTTTTTTTCCAAGCCAGACATACCTTTCTGCCCCGAGCGCTCCTCTCTCTCGGGGCCATGCATCAGGCAGGGTGGAAATGTCACTTGCTGGACCTTCACTCAGCCACCCTCCAGGTATTTCATGTCCCAACACTGCCACGCTCCCTAGCTCTCCCCTTTTGTCCCAATAAGGGATCAGGTTCATTCCTCCACACCTCGTTTTTGAGGAGGTGGATGATAGGGGGCTGGTTGCCCTCCACTTGCTGCCTCACTGAAACTGAGGCTTTCCAGAGCCTTGCTCCCCAAAACCTGATGGCACATGTTGAAGTAGGCAAAATAAGTCGTCATCCAATAGGCATCCCAGGGCCTGGGATGGGGAGGACAGGCAGCCCCAACAAGAAAGGAGACAAAATGTCTTGCCAAGGGACAAGAAGCCCTTGATGATCCACCATCCTGTGCATCTCCCAGCCCTTCCCCACTGCTCTGGAAAAACCCTCACAGCCTGGATGCTGTTGAACAACAGCAAGGGACAGCTTGCCCTAGGAAATGGTCATGCAAGCCTGGTGTCTTCTGCTGGCTGACAGAACAGATCCATGCACCAGGAACACTCGGGATTATGCAGCCAATGTGCCCCCATGGGCATTGCATGTGGGAGCATGCTACAGAGATGCCTACAGCTAGATGAAAGAGATCTGCACCCCTGAAAGGACGGATAAATGGTCTCTCCACACTGACTCATCTCAAGTCTTCGTTGCATGCTGTCAGAAACACACAGAGGAGGCAAACATAGTTGGTCTGAGCCCTTTAGGAAGAGGTGGAAATAGGAATGAAAATGGTCTGGAAGCAGGGTTTGTGACTAATCCGTGGACCAAGAGGCTTGGAAGCAGTGCCCCATCCGTGCTGTCCCACAGGGCCAACTCTGACACAGAGAGGAGCGAGGGGGGCTCTGGTACAGCAAAAGCAGGAACTAAAGTGGCCATAACTAGGATTGCCCCAAACTGCAGCAGGAAAAGCAGGTCAGACCACTGAGGTCTGTTACAAAACCTCCCAAGGACTGCAGGTGTGACATGCTGTGAGGCAAGGGGACATGTTATTCAGGAGGTCCTGGATGGTTGCTGCATCCTCTTGCACCCCAGGGAGCAGGTGTGCAACTGTGCTTGCTCAGTCGAGCTCTGCTGGGACTGTCCTGTGCCTGTTTCCTCTGGGCTCAGAGCTTCAGGATGGAGACAACACCCGCACCCCCTCACCGTTCTCTTTATTTACAGACACAACATCAACTGGAGGTGCGGAGCTGGGAAACGGCACCTCACAAAGCATCTGCCCACCCAGACAGTGCTGTGCCTGCAGCAAGGTCTTTGCAAGCTCTGTGCAGTGGGAGGGCAGGTGGGCGCGCGGTGCAGGCTCCACGACGTGGGGAAGCCAGCTGGTCGGCCAAAAGGCAATACACCTCTCTGTGGCTGAGCCTCCTTTGCCTTCTGAGTCATCTATTTCCACCGGCCGCCCACCATGGTCTTCCCACGGGCAGCCTTTGACCTGGAAGGGAAGCAGAAAACCACGGTCAGTTAGTGACCTGAGTCAGGCCAGTAGACCTGAGTCAGTCTGTGTGATTTGGGACTCTATGGGAACAAGCTCATGCATTTTGCCAAGTGTTTCTAAGGAGCTCCAATTCCTTTCCCATGTTCCTCCCTCCCAAGGATCCTTCAGAGAAGAACTGATGAGTTGGATCTCCAGCTGTGGAGGGATAAAGACGGCTGCAGGATCCTTCTCCCAGGAACCAGAAGCTGTGAAGCTGTTAGCCAGGACCCACCACATCACTCTCCTTAACCAGCATCAGGGGAACAGGCACTGCTCTGGCCATGGGACAGCAGAGACAAGGAGGCTTGCATGGACAGTGAAGGGCATTTCTGGCATGTCATCCTCAGAGTCACCAGCCCAGCTTTGGCTGCCAATTCTTGGCATTGCCTCCTCCCTCAGCCCTACCGCCAGCCTGACATCAGCCCCAGTGTCCATGCAGCACACATGCAGGGGGAGACACACGGCACTCGGGAGACACTTGTACTCACCCTTTGCTGCAGTAACAGGCCATGTTGGGGCAGAAGAGAAGAGAGATTTGGTGTAAGCAGGTGGGGGATGCTGCTGACTGCCACACGGGGCAGGCTGAGCACCTCTCACGCGAGATGGCAGGGTAGGACAGGGATGCAAGAGCAGCAAGGTGCTCCCAAGGGTGGGGATTAAACACCCACCTCCACCCTCCTATGAAGGGTCCCCCAGTCCTGTGCAGGGAACATGGGCATGGGGACAGGGTCTCCTGTCCTTGTGGGGCTGCACAGCTCCCACAGCCCCTGGGATTTCCCGTCCTACACAAACTGGGATCTCCAGCACCTTCCCTGAGATGCTGGGCAGAGCCACTGCAGGGATGGGGATGGCTGGAGGCTGGCAGGACCCTGCAGGACGCAAAGCTCAATGTGCAGATGTGGGTTCTCCCTGGGGTCCATCCCTAGCCAGTGCCTCTGGGGCAGGGGGAAGCTGGTGGAGGTGGGAGGCAATGGGGGTCTGTCAATGGGAGCAGAGCAGCATGGACTGAGGTCCCTGGGCCAGACCTGCAGGGCCATGAACACCGGGTACCAGTGGGACCAGGGGCAGGAGTGGGAAGGACAGGAGGTGGCTCTGCGAGGGTGCAAGAGAGTGAGGATACACACAGGGAGGGAACTGGGGCCAGGGGAGCAGGGAGCTGGAAGGACAGGCGGCATCGAGGAAGGATGCTCAGCCTGCCCGGGAACTTACACTTTCTGGTGGTCACTAACGCGGTTTCGGAGGACATTGATCTGCAAGAGAAACGCAGGTGGATGGTGAGGCCTGGCAGCATGGCCCATGCCCAGCGGGGGATGAGGGTTGGGGCAAAGGTGCATCACTGCTCTCTCTTCCCCAGTGGTTCTTGCACGGGGCTGTGATGTGCAGCACAGCGGGAAGCCTGTTGCGGTGCAAAGCACACATCCCCAGGAGCTGGGAGGTCACAGGGCCACCACACAAACCCTTTCAGCAGCTGCATTTCATAGCATGTGTGCTCAGCCTTGCCAGGGTGGCCAACAACAGCTGGGAGGGTTGGTTTGATCCTGGCTCATCTCCAAAAGGGAGGCAGATGTGGCTTTGCTTTCAGTGGTGCAGAGCCTCTTGGATGTTTGTCACCCCATGCACAAGGGGGGCACAGTCCTTTTCTGATGCAGCCAGCTTTCCTGCGACAGCATCGTCAGTCAGACAACCCACCTCACCTCCCAAATGGGGAGCAGAAGGAGCAGCCAGGCACACAGAGGGTGAGCAAGCTCATGGAGGATCTCATGGCTCACCTCGTATTTCTGCCGCTTGAACTTTTCCTGCAGGTCAAATTTCTCAGCCTCCAGATCATGGATGGTTTGCCATAGCTCCTTGGCCTTGTCCCTGTGGAAGAGCCGGCTGGTGTCAGTGCAGAAAAAAGATGTGGCTCACAGGGAGCTCACTGCAGGGCATTGATGCCACCGTCTCGCCTGCTCCCCCAGGACAGGTCTCTGCAGCCTCTGTGCCCCGCAGGGGATGCGTTGGCCAATCCCACATGGGGCCCGAACGCATGGATGGGAGGTTGGGACACACGGGGACACGTATGTCCCACGCATGTGAGCGTGGCTCCCTCTGATGGCCGGCGCTGTCAGCAGCAGCCTGGCAGTGGTGGCCCGGCAGAGCCATGAGCCCATGTTCCTGGTGGGGTGTCACAGCCCATCTCCCAGCTGTGCCATCAACCCTCTTGTCTGGGCTGCAAGCCTCAGGCAGCCCACCCCGGCCCAGGATCCTGCGCCAGGAGGTGGGACCCAAAGCAGAGCCCCTGTCCTGGACATCCCTCCTGCAGCCCGTGCTCACCTCAGCTTGTCTTCGTTGAGGTGGTCGATGTTCAGAGGCTTCCGCCGTTCGCTGAGGATCTTCTTCTTCTTTTCCCGCTCTGTTTGCTTCTTCCCACCCTTTTTCTCTGACTGAGGAAACCATCAGTCCGTCGGAGGGAAGGAAATCTGCCCAGCTTTTGCTCTACCCCTATCCCCAGCTCTGCCCCCAACACCCTCTGCTTTTGGGACTCCAGAAGAACATGAGGTCCTCAAGAAAATTTTGGCAATAGTGGACAAGACACCCCCCACATCCCCATCCCTGTCCCTGAGGCAAGGCTGGACACACACACACACACCCCCCCCGGCCAGCATGTGCAAAGCAGAGCTCTCAGCTCACTTTGACCCTCTGACCACTGTTGTGACCCAACCATGGTGGCCTGTCTTCTTCTGCTTGTAGAAACCACGGCCTACGAGCACTGAGAATGTGCATGGTGCTGTGGGGCCAGCCCATGGTTGAGCCCTTCCCAGGAGCACCGGTGGCTTCATTGCAACCACCTGGGGTAAGTTCACACCTTCTGCATGTAGCCTCCAAAGTGCAGCATGTTGGAGAAAGCTTTCTTCTTCCGTGCTTCCTCCTCAGCCTTCTTCCGGGCCTCCTCTTCCTCTTTGCGAGCTCTTTCTTCCTGCCAGGTCAGAAGAGGGTCAGGAGTGGATGGACAGAGACCTCATGGACCGGCTTGCATGCAACACACAGCTCGTGCTCCAATGTGCTCCATGGATGGGCTTGTGCTAGCCAAGACCAGCCCAAGCCCCCCAGCCCCGGAGGGAGACTCACGGCCATGCGGGCTTGGCGCTCCTTCTCCCTCTCACTGCGAATCCGCTGCTGCTCTGCCCTCTCCGCTCGCCGCTGTTCCTGCAGGAGGAGAGGACGTTGACAGGGACACCCCAGGGAATCTGCATTCTCTCTGTCCCTGACCTCAAAAGCCCTGAGAACCCCAGGGACAGATCTGCTGCTCCCATGTCTCCCAGGAGAGCACATGGACCAGAGCCCACAGGGGAAGGTGCATCTCCATTAGGCATTGCAGCAGCCAGACTAGGGGCTTCCCGGGCACCGGGGTACAAAATCTGGCTCAAATCTCAGGCTCTGTCTTGCAGGGACATGGGATGTCTCTGGTCTTGCGGTCGAGACCGTGGGGAAAGGATCGTGGCTGTTTGCCCACAGGGGAGAAAGTGGCAACAGCGATAGAGTGGGAGGGCTGCAGACATACAATCCTGTCCTTGAGGGAGATGAGCTCCTCTTCCTCCTTCTTCCTGCTCTCAAAGTGGGCTTCGATGAGAGCCTGCAGTTCATTCAGGTCCTTCTCCATGCGCTTGCGGTGGATGTCCTGCACCAGACAGAAACAGCAGCGATGGCTACACTCACAGGAGTGAAGCCCTCCAGGAGCTGCAGGGCTGCTGGGCACGGTGTGGAGGAGCAATGCGAGGGGAGCACCTCATGGGGGCTGACTTTGGGTGCACTACTCACATCAAAATCCAGTCTCTCGCCATCTGGGATTTTGGGAGGCACCAGGTTTGGCATGAAGACCCTGCAATCGAAGGTGAGCAGGAGGATGGTGAGCCTGCAGCGGATAGCTGGGACAGGACAGTGCCTTTTATCCATGCACTGACCTACCCAGCCCTCCTCTCTGAGCCTCACAGTCCCCAGGGATGCAGAGTGAGCACATTTTGAGGACGGGGAAGTGTAATGCTGCTTGCTGGAGGTTGCCAGCTGGACAGCCTCAGAGGAAGATCTCTGGCACTCCCGGGAAGCACTCCAAGGCACCCACATGGCTGGAATAACTCTGCAGGCAACTTGGCCACGACCTTTTCCAGGCACCCTGGGGCTGGCAGCCACCCCACTGCTCACCCAAAAGAGCACAGAGGAACTGTGTGCTCCAGTGTGATCTGGCACAGGGAGCTAGAAACCATCCTCTCATCCTCTGTGGGCTTCAGGGAGGGCAGGAGATGCTTAGATACACATAAAGACACAAAGGGATGAAGAGATCACAGCTGAGGGCAGATCTGCCTCCCAGACTGCAGCATCCCAGAGGTCCAATGGTTCACGGCCCCGCTCCTTCAGGCAGGTGCTTCTGTCCCAGGAATGCTGGCACTCATGCAAATGCCTGCCTCATGCCAGCCATGGCCAGGAGCATACTAGAGAAGCAAGATCCTGGCTGTGCCATGGACTATGTACCCCAGGCTGGGGCGCACACAGATTTTTTTCCAGCTGCAGGGCCACAGGGCAGCTGGGCCTCCTCCAAGGAGCACACAAAATGCTTCAAGACCTCATTCTCAGGGCCCTCTTCATATTCTATGTTTATCTGCCTGTTTTTTTCCCTTTTTTTCTCCATGTCCCAGTCCCCACCCCACTTTCATGTTTTTGAGGCCTCACTGTCCCATGCCCTTTATGGATCATGGTGCTAAGCCCATCACACGGAACCTCTGCCCTGGCACAGCTCCTAGTTCAGCCCTTGCACCAGAGAAAATGCACCAACACTTACTTGGGCTTTGGCTTCAATTCACCTGCGGGTCCCCAGGAGCAGGAAAGAAAGACAACGTTAGTGTCACAGAGGCATTTGCTTTCACACCTTGACCCAAAACCCACACTGAGCTGAGCTACCCCTCTCTCCCAGCAGCACAGGCTGCACTGTGGATCATCCTCCAGCAAAGAGGCATGCAGTGAGGTATCCATCTGTATGCCAAAACCCGAGACACGTTGATGCTCCTGGCTGAGCAGAAAGGCATTTGGTACTTCCTTACACAGGCAAAGGGACAGTCCCTCCAACCCCAGAGAGGAGTGAGGATGGATACTTCACCTTCCCCAGACTCCTGCTCTCGGTCCCCCTCTCCACCTGTGGAAAACATGACGCTTTGACTCCCGGAGGCCAGCCCTGCTGTGCACCGTGTGCACGGACACAGCAAGGTGGTTCAGCCATGTTGTTCCCCGCTGCAAAACCCAGCTCCATCCCTCCAGGATGAACGGGAAGAGAGCAGGTCCCTCACGAACATCCCTCACCCAGAGACAGACCAGGAGAGCCCTAGGTCCTCTCCAGTAGGAACCCAGAGAAGCTTTGCTCAGGCTGGGAAAGCAGTGCATACTCCTTCTGTATTTTGGGTGAATTTCTTACCTACCCAGCACAAAGCCATCCCTCCTGCAGGCCTCCTGCTGCCCCAGCCCTGGCAGAGGATGAGGCCAGGGCAGCTCTGCCCCATTTACCGCAGATTCTCTCTCTTCAGCAGCAAACTAATTCAACACTGAAAACCCCAGTGGGGCCAGTGTCTTGGGGGACTGGGATCAGGACTGAAATGGCCAAAACTGCCCCTCCTCCATTCCGGCTTTACCTTCTCCTGGTGCTTTTG